TGTTCAAATAGTCATATTAATCGATAAGCACACACCTTTCGCTATAATCCATCAATATCATCAAATTGATATCTTCTAATTAACTCAAAATTAGGTTTTGCTGGATAACGCATTTGTTCAAATTCTTTTATCAATAAGTCTATTATGATAAAATATTTTACCTTGATAATTAGTATCTAATGGAAGTTTTGGATAATCCTACTTAATGGTGTTTTCAAATTCAATTGCCTTTTACTGTTATTATAGTCTTATTAATATTTTTCCTAAATATAATTAATTAAAATAAACTTTATGCTAGTTTAGCAGCCTAAACTATATTAGGATATTCAGTAATTGCTTTTTTTGATAATTCTTAAGAACAAAATTCTTCATAGTATTGCAATGATTCTTAATTTTTACTCTGTAATTCCATTAGGAATCCTTAATATATTTAAGTTGTACCTTTAAAAAAGTAAAAGAGTGATTTTAATTATTCTTAAGATTTTTTTATCAATGATTCGGCCAATTCAAAATTTGTTATGAGAAGTGCAGACATTACTAAGTTTATTAATTAATTTACTGAATTATAAGACTTCAATCATAGTTAGGGATGAAAAATTGAATTTTTGATAAATATTAATTGAGCTCCCAAATAATCTTTATTTATAATATAATTTGGCTAAAAAATTAATTTCAAGTACCTTTTAACTTTTCTGCTTTCTCTATGCTTGCAGTGTCTGTTTTTATTATTTCCAATAACCTATGTGCCTCATTAAGATTATTTTAATAACTATTAAGAATAACTAAATCTATAATAGATAGTCACCTAGCAGCCATTATGAATCTAAAAATCCATTCATGGATTGAAAGATACTTTTGGCTTTCTCATAAGATACATCATTAGGCTAGACTTTTGAGTTTATGTTCTATTCTAAAATAGCAAGTGCTAAAATATGCGATTATTTCATTACCTTTATTGTACAGTAGTTATTGCTTGCCAGTTTCAACTTTAAGTGCCTCATCATAGTAATTGATTGCAATGTTATATTATTTTTATACCTAATGGATCAAACCTAATGAATGATTCAAATAATTAACCCAAGTATATGTCTATTTTAGATTTTTTAATTTGATTCGATTGTAATTACTTAAAACAATTAAGCGAAGCATCTATCTATCCAAGGTGAAAGTAAATTTATCCTTTATGATATATATTTATCTAACCTTTTAATTCAAGAAAATCTGATTTTCCTTGTTGAGACACTTGATTACTCATTATTCCTAAAGCTTATTGATATTTTTGCAAACCTACTAAATTGTATGCTAATTAAATTATCCTTTAAGATACCGTAACAAATTTCAATTATAGGTTCATTTGGATATTATTATCTTGCTTAAATTAAATATTATTCAGCCATCCCATAATTTTTTTACGCAATTAAACAAATCGCTATAAATTAAATATATATTTTAACATTTAATCAAATTGAGAAATAAACTATTAGGAAGTTTATATAACTTTTTCTCAACAAGATCTAGAGCACTCTCTATTTTTTTTTCTAAATACAATTGTTTCACTTTTATAGAATAATTTTTTTACACTCTTAAATAAATTAAATTAATGGTGAGCTTAATTATCTGGATTAATCAATTGATTAAAAAGAAAAACGTTCTTTATTTTTTGAAAATAATTTTTATGCAAGAACTTTGTAAAATTAACAATTACATATATAACTTTAAGCCTCGGAATATTTTTTTGAATGTTTTTAGATTGAGTTTAAGCACTCAAGGGCTTTCTAAAATTCACCAGATTGAATCAATACTATGGCTATTATTATTTTCTTATACATTACCATAAGAAATTTTTGTTTCATCGTTTATATTTTGTAAATTATTACTATAAAATTATTTTGGATCTTACATTAGCATACATAGAACTTGATATTAATTAATATTTACATTTTGCATCACTGTAAGCCTAACAATTAGGGTATTTCTCCATTCCTAACTAACAAAATTGAATTGCCTCTTCAATTTTATTTTGATACAAAACCAAAAATTTAACTCTCTTAAGAAATATTGATTACCATAAAACATAATTATATCTAAGCTTTCTGGCTTTTTATGTAATTCTGCTTTGATAATGTTATTCGCTTCATCTATTTTACCTTAATCTAAAAGAGAAAAACTTTGAAACAATTGCATATTAAATCTATCATCATTTTAATGCTTTCGTTTGTCTAATAGAAATAAATGAATCAATACAGTAATGGTAATTAACAAATTCCATCACCTGACCTTAAAAAATTGTATCATTATTATAATCATCTTGATATATTAATTAGTTTGCTTCTTGATTTTTACCCATAATAATTAATATTGAATCTAAATTATAGTATACATTACATTTTTTCGCTAAGAGAAAATAATCTAGCTGAAATTTAAGGGCAAAGTTTACTTTTTAAAGTGCCAAATTGTATTTGCATAATTAAAGCAAGTCTTCAACTAGATATTTGATAAATTTATTGAATACTTTATGAAGTAAGAATAAATAATAAGTATTAAGAGTCATCAGATGCATAAACTTGTTGAATAATCTAAATGATCGTACTTTTTGAATTTTCTCCTATTTTTTGATTCAATAAAAAGGCTATTAACAATTTTGAGATTTGATTATTATAACATTGCCTTGCAAATCTAATTAAAATCTAATTATCTTAGTATATATTAATTTCATCGAATTAGTTTTTAATTAGCTTCTTAAATTTATCTTAATAGTCAATTAATTCTTAAGAAAAGGAATCACATTAATCTTTAGTTGATAAAGACTAGTGTTACTAAAAAAGTTTTTCAAGCTTTTATAGATGAATCTATAATATAGAATATAATATTGTAATTGGAAAACAATCTAATTGATGATCCTTATGGAATTCGTTCCAACAAATTTAACAAAGTTTGTCCTTCTTTTCTTTGCAATTCTCATTTAAGCAGAATTTTATAATTGGATGCTAATTATGAGCCATATAGGTGCAACTAAATATTGGAGGATTCATAAATTAATTAAAAAAATAAATAATATTGATATATAAATTTATGTATATCTACTTGAAGGATTCATAAAGCAGCTCTTAAAGTTTTATGCTTTCTAAGTAATGAAATGATTCATTCATTATTTTATTAGAATAGAATTAATTATTTGCTCTTTTATTTTTTTATTCTATTTTTTGGAGAATAAATATTAATAACTTGAGTTTCTTTAGATTAAGAAAATAAACTTATCTTAAGTTAAAAATTAAATTAATTAATTAAAAAATGAATTTCAAAAAATCTATGATTAATCAGAGCAAAATTAATGTGGAGAAATATTTTGTACTTAGCTCAACTTAGTCGTCCTTATATTAAAATTAGAATTATAGATAGTTATTTCAATAAATAAATAATAGAATACACTATTATTCTAAATAATAGAATCATAAAATTTCTGAAACTTTCTCATAATACTATTCTTATATATAAAATATTTCTCTACTTAATACTTGAAAATAAATTAGAATTTTGATTTTAATGAAGATCTCAACTACCTTATATGTTTAATCTCACCTTAACAAAAATTTAATTGTTAATCTTCAAAATATCCTTTCAGAATTACCAATGAAATTTGAACTTTTATAATATTATTAACTATCATTTCATTATTCATAAAAACTCAATTAAAATTTTTCGTTATCAAATAACTAAAATAATGTTCCTTCATGGTTTCTATTTTATGTTAAAGGTTTCTATGCCAAATAATTTCTACCCTTTTTCGTTAGTTTTTGTTTTTTTTGAACAGAACAAGCATTCTATTAGTATAGCATAATAAATGATCTTAATAAAAAACAGCCATTAAATTAACAAAACATA